TTTTATCCTCGTTCTTTCGCCGAAGATAACCTTATTCGACGTAATTGCCCCCTTCTATTTTGACACAAAACGATGCTTCTAACGAAGAACAGCTCGCTGTTAAGCCTGAATGAAGGCAGTTATGTGTCAAAAAATTGCGGAACTCCGTCTAGTTTGATATATTTGAGACAGTGTCAAAGATAAGATCGTGCCACTTGACCGATCGTCTAGGACCTAAGAGATCGTCAACGATCGAGAATCGACAGCCGATCATCTTCGATCTGTTTCTTTCGTATTATTTCATTCGCTTCGTCCGTTTCTTCTGCCACTCTTTGATCGCCCTGCGCGCATCGCATCGAAATAGGAAAAACTAGTTGTAAGGAAAGAAGCAGAAGCACTTGTTTATATGTTTCCAAGTTTCCTTGTTATTACATCCGGCGATGAGATGATATACTCAGCAACTTTTCGCTTAAGAATTAAATTAAGATTGTTTGACGATCAAACGTTGAAAATGTCTGGAGAGCACCTTTTTTTTTTTTTTTGAAGAATAAACGTTAAATTATTACCAGATACAACTGCAAGAATGCTTTATTATTAATGAGTGCTTTATTGCACACCTATGCACATATGTATCTCTTAGAACTTTATTATCTGTCATCAGATAGAAAAGTGAAATTCCCTACAATAGCGCGTAGGTTAACTATTCCAATGGCCATACGGAAAGCACTAACCATTTAAACGATCCATTACTCGTGCAGTATTACATCATAAATCTTGCAAGTAATAAATGTAATTCCAGTCACTTTCGATCAAAACATTTCCATCTGGTCGTAGCCTAAAATTAACGTTTTCAAGGAATGGCAAAGACCGATATGTCTTAATGGATTATCGATCGATCGTACGTAATACCATTCGTTCGACACATTCGGCACGAGTGTCTCGGACCTGGCTTTGAAAACATTTAACATTTTTCACGATGATTCTCGCATGATAAAGTACGTATATACCGTTTGCGGTACGCGATCGCGAACACGATACGTCTGTCAAAGAGTTGATTCTCTTCGGAAATAACTTTCCGAGCGAGTGAAATTTTTGGAATTTCTGATAAATTTTACTTTATTTGGTATCGTATTATATTCGCGCTTATCGCGGTTGTTCCTTTTCCTCGAGAATACGCCGCTCTGGCGGGTGTAGCCGCGAACGCGTGGGCTTCGAGCTGTTAGAAATGGGTGGAGAGAATTCGGCTGTAATTTATGAATCGAGGCTCGCGCTTATCTGCCTCCAAAGCAATAATTATGCGAATTGAAATTTCTTAATAATAGAGCAAGCTCAATGATTTCTTCCGCGACGTTCGGTTACATATTATTCGTTGATTTAATAATGTCGTTAAGACGGGTCTGGCCTCGGCGCACGTCGACTTATCTCGGAAGCCTAGACCAATATGTATTTACGCCCACTTATTGAAATTTACGTCGATTCATATTTATAGATCTGGTCCGGTTGAGCGGTCACCGGTGTAATTAAACATTCACAGTATTATAAATTGGCCGCGTTTAATCACTCGTAATGTGAGTTTAACATCTAATAGTGCGATCTCCGTGTTTGCATATACGTATGTACGTATTGTATATAACATTTGGAACGTGGCTCTTCTGGTTGTGTTTTATAGTGCATTTCTCAGGAATCTACTGGTAAAGTGGTAGAATTTCATGATTCGCTGAACACGAACCGGGATCGCGGATAAAAATTAGTGTTAACGCGCGAGATGAATTATTACGTTATTAGTTCTCTACGTCCAGTTTTTGTTTATACGCGGGTTAATACTTTCTGCGGCAAATTCTCTTACAATTAGTTTCTTTCCTTTTTGTTCGCAGATACGACTTATATCATATTAAGTCGATCGGAAAATTCTGTCGCCAGATTTTCCACATATATCTATAACTCTATCTCGTGGTTTCTACGAACCGCAGTTCGTTGAAATACACGCATCGAAACACACATATCGAAACTGTTCGTTATCGAAAATGTTTTTACAGCAAATTATTCCACTATAAAGCGAATCGTAAATGTTGTAGTTTATACGAGCGTCAATGTCGATTGATAATTATTAAATTTGTACAAGGCTGCCTCTGACAAGGAAAGTGTTCGCTACTGGAAATCAGCCTGCAGAAGCGTTGGAAAGATAGCTTAAATATTTGTATCGAGTTCCTTTCGACCGATCGTTCTTTATTCGGTTCGTTCAATGGGTCCGCGACGTTGATTTGACTGAAATTGCCACGTGTTGTGTGTTCCACCGGTAATAAGAGTACGCGAGAGAAACGATCGAGGTTACGACGATCGAATTAATAGCGAGCTGAATTACAGTCTATGTTACGACATTACACGATCAATTCACGTTTCACGTAAACGAAAATGTCGACGGCACCGGATACCTTCGATTATATCGAACAAACGCGAATGCTCCGTAGTCGAATGGCTGTTTATAGAATATTTTCGACCATATACGTACATCGCCTTACACAGTTACGTTGAAGATACACGTGTCTCTCTTGGAAACAAACTTGGATAATCCCTTGCGATTACATAAGATTTTGTATGAAACGTATACCTATTTTTTATTTACAGATGGTATGTATTTTTTTAACATGTACGAAGTCGAAACGATCGTGGAAAATACGAGAAAACCGAAATTTTGATATTTGGCATTACAACGAAAATTATCGTCTTCGTTAGGTTCGTCCATTCCATGTGTAGGCATAAATGAAGTCGTTAGACGCGGGTGATCGTACTGATTGTAAAAATTCTAGCAGTTTGCGTCTTCCACGCGATTACGATACATCGTGTGTGAATATTTATTTGAATATTTTTATTTCGGGTAACCGAAGCGAGTACGCGACGCGTAGCAGTCGTGCGAGCGAGAAGAGGCGCGAGCACCGTACGTAAGAATGTGAATCACCGTGTCGTGGCGCCTTCTAATGTTCTAATCTTCTACACGCATGGACATAGGTCCTTTCGGCGTTTATCGACGCTCACCGATGTCCATTTCGTCATTTTTCCGAGCCGTCGCATCAGCGGCGGTATTCCTTCGTATTTACGAGGCGCGCGGTAAATGCTCGCTAAGTGACTCGGTGACTTGGTTTTGACCGAACAATCGACACAAGTTTAACGTTGTCCGTGGTCAGCTGACAGCGAGTATGCTTCTGCGGCAATAGGAAAATATTTCCAGAATGGGTCGAACGAAAAATCCGAAGAAATCGTGGAACTACCATCAGCTATCTTCGAGAGCAACTACGAGATGTTCGACAACGGTGGAAATTTGACGCGCGTCGTAAAAGTCGAAGACCGAAGGTATGTCGCGAGGCGATCCTCGATGAATGGTATCTTCCCTTTATCTTTGTACACGCCATAGAAGCTGTTTGTAGTCCGTTCTACCAGATGAGATAGTTTTCCCCGAAAAAGTCGCTATTAAGCCCCTTCAAACCGCATACCCGATGCGTGATCCTTTCCTCCTTTATTTCTCTCTCGTTTTTGTCCCTTTTCCTTGTACACCTACGTTTCCCTATTTTTCTTCCCCTTTCTCATTTTCTTCTCCTTCGTGACAGGTATCGTTCTAGTATAGGTCGTTTCGTTCGAACAGGCAAAGTCGAGATCGAAGTCGTAACTCGAATGGATCGATGCACTTATGAACGATACCGTGGAAATAGATACTATGTATATCGATAGGTGTAATTTTGGACGTCTGGTTTCGTTAACAACGTATGTATTTCAGAGTGAGAAAATGCTATAGTGAAAATAGATACATGCTACGTACGATCGATAGGCGTTATCTCGGATGTCTGGTTTCGCTAACAATGTACGTACGTATTCGACGGTATTTCTATAGCGAATTACGATAATAACGTTGCAATCGAGATTGCGAAGCGACTATTTGTCGGCTGACCGTGGCTGTGTCAGATGCGAAGGCTACATTGTTAAAAATATATAGCACCGCGTTTCATAATCTCCTTTCCGCTTTGGTTTTCATAGGATTCGACGTTCCGTATTCGAAGCGATAACAAACATTTCTTACACTTGCTTACGATAGAAAAGTATTCGATTTCACATACGCTACGATTTCGCACATAACGATGTACCGATCGTCGAGCTGAAATAGAACGAGCACCTCGAATATCGCGAATCATCGTCCTCTTAATCGCGAAATAATCGATATTCTCGCGTCTAATTTTTAAGGAGAAGCCAATTCCGCGTATGACAGGTTGAAACTATTGAAATTTAGAAATGTTTGTTAAAAAAATCGGTTCTATATGGAATATCGATTGATTCGAACTTTCGTTTTCGTCAAACTTATCTTATCGCAATAAGCAGAAAGTAGCCGTGTGTTGGTTGATAAAAATAGATAGGTAGACATTTGAATACGCGTAATTATGTTGCATAGAAACTTGTTACGCACCAAGTAACGTAAGATTGCAAGAAGAACGAAGAAATCTGCTATTCGGCATCGGCGTATCGCGTAAAGTAGTATAAAAATAAAGAAAAACATCCGCCAGATATCAGCGGCTCGATAGAAGAGCGACACAGTAGAAAAAATAAATTGGCACGAGATAAAAGCTACGAGGCGGACAATTATCGATAAGTTGACTATTTTAGCGATCGTAGTTAAAAGTTTCGATTCGATCGTTTGGCCATCGTACTTGAGAAATTGTAACTTTATCGTTAGATAACCGAAACGCGTAAACGTCGAGACTCTGTATGTATGTACGTATAAACATGGTTGCGTGGCCGAATAATTCTCGAAATTTCGCTTAGCCTGGTTCTGCGAAATTCCTGGAAGGCAGGATCGCTTGGAACAAAAACCGTGACCAAGGTGGCTTGTCGTTTGACGAGCTTACGACCGACTCGTGCTTACAATTGTCGCGTTCTCGCGGTTCTACGCGTATTTTCGTGAGCGTAATAAAAGAAAAGCGGGATAATCCGCGGATATCGCGTTGGGACTGAAGGCTCGACCTTGTTACTGTTTGCAGGTACGCACGGCTGACCTCGATAGGGCTTTCGCTCGTGTCTAAGGAAGAATGAAAAGGAAACGAAGGAGCCGAAGAAAACGAGAACTGGTGCGTGCCGTAGCTGATCCTGCAGCAGTCGCGCGTTTGCGAAGCGCGGCGTGAAAAAAACCGAGAAAGAAAGAGGAGACCGAGTTTCCGTTAGCAAGACGAGGAGGGAAACTAAGATCGGATCGAAGGGAAAGAGACGGGACAAGGGTGGAAGAGACGTCGGAAGAAAGCGCGGTGGAAAGCAGAAGAAGGCAAAGGAAGACCGTGTAAAATATAAGGTAAGAGAAGCAAATAGGCCGGAACGGGACGAGAGAGAAACGATCGGAGCAGGATCGGGAACCGACGACGAGCGCAGCGACAAGGAAGACGAGGTGGAGGAATCGTGACACGGGCGCGTGTGCAACAGGCGATTTCTGAGCGATTTATCTTGCCAGGTTTGCAGGTGTTCGCGTGCGTCCTTCGTGGCCTTGTTAACGGGCTTCCTCTTTCTCTAGCCCGCCCCGGATAGGCTTTTATCGTTCCTCTACCGGCGACCTTCCAAAGACACACCGTGCCGTGAAATAATAGCACGGTTCAAAATAGACGGAAATCAGAGGTCAGATTCGAGAAGCGGGAAAGGAAGAGGAATAGAGAGCGAAAGAGCGATGTTGCTAATCGCAAGAGGCGAGTGACGTCTCCGTGGAATTCCAGGGAATCGGAGGAAAGCGCGGTGACGTACGAACTGGTGCGAAAGAGGAAGGATCGGAGAAAGAACGAGGGAAGAAAGGGTGAGGAGGAGGAGGAGGAGGAGGAGGTGGAGGAGGTGGTGGAGGAAGAAGAAGAGGAGGAGGAGGAAGAAGAAGAAGAAGAAGAAGAAGAAGAAGAAGAAGAAGAAGAAGAAGAAGAAGAAGAAGAAGAAGAAGAAGAAGAAGAAGAAGAAGAAGAAGAAGAAGAAGAAGAAGAAGAAGAAGAAGAAGAAGAAGAAGAAGAAGAAGAAGAAGAAGAAGAAGAAGAAGAAGAAGAAGAAGAAGAAGAAGAAGAAGAAGAAGAAGAAGAAGAAGAAGAAGAAGAAGAAGAAGAAGAAGAAGAAGAAGAAGAAGAAGAAGAAGAAGAAGAAGAAGAAGAAGAAGAAGAAGAAGAAGAAGAAGAAGAAGAAGAAGAAGAAGAAGAAGAAGAAGAAGAAGAAGAAGAAGAAGAAGAAGAAGAAGAAGAAGAAGAAGAAGAAGAAGAAGAAGAAGAAGAAGAAGAAGAAGAAGAAGAAGAAGAAGAAGAAGAAGAAGAAGGAGAAGTTGGGGCAAAAGAGGTATTACGAAAAAAGGCGAGGACAAGAAAGAAGGAATACAAGGAGAGACGGAAAGAGACAGGAGAGTAAACGCAGTGAAAGAAGGAAAGGAAGGTGAGGAAGGCGGCGAAAAGAAAGAGCACAGGTAGACAGGTAGAAGGTAAGAGGGAGATAGGAGCGAAGTAAGAGAAGGAATAAGGGAAGAGAAGGAGGGGAGTAGCGCGAAAGAAGAGAGGGAGAAGAAGAGGCGCGTGGTGGTCGTGATGGTGAGGTAGTGGACGAGAGCGAGCGAGCATCCAGATCTGTCGCGTGCTGCGTCGCTCTGGGATGGGACGGAATCGGGACGACACGGTACGAAGCGGAACGGGACGAAACGGGACGACGGCTACTACTACAACTACGAGGACGGGATGGGATGGATGCTGCGGGCCCGTGTGAGTAGCGAGTCGAGTCGATCCCCGCGCGCTGGTATTGGTTTCACTCTCGGCTGCTGCCGGCCCGTGTGCTGGTGTGTCGATCTCTCTACGAGAGCGAACCGAGGAGCGTGCCCGAACCGAGCCGGAGAAGAGAACCGCGCCACTCGTTCAGTAGTTTCTCGGACGCCGCACCGCCACCATCCGACCTGCCAGATAACCCCGTCGACTTTACCGGACTACCCCCGACCTCC